CAGTCCCCACAGACCCTCGTGCTAAAATACTGACCTTTTCAAGAAAAATGATTGTTTGTCCGTGTGGATAGCTTCCCCCTTCATATACCCTTGGTACTTGTCTTTATTTTAAGACATAAATTAGGCGTTTTAATGTAAAGTTATTGGAGTCAAAGGTTAAAATAACTACTTGGTTACAGTTGCAGGACCTTCATTATAATTCTTACATGACGTTATGATAAAAGTGACATCAATATCTGAGGCTACTTTAACAGAAACAGCGCTGACGCCCTTTTACTACAATTTAGTTTGTAAAAGAAACTAAAGATGACTAATGATGATGAAAAAAAAGAAAAGGATGACTTAAAACAGGGAAAATATAGCATTTACCGATGTTTGGTTGACCCATCCATCTGTCTGGACCTCCACCCTAAACAGACTTTCTTGCTCTGATGTTTTTTGCAGTCATGTGATCACTGATCATGTGATGTTAAGGGTTAGTTGGTGAAAACCTCCTTGCAACTGGTTTGGTCTGACTAGTGGATTGCTAATTAAATGTTTATTTTTCAGCTCGTGTTGCACTTTTTCAAGTTTGACTTCTGCTCAGTGAGTAGTTAGTGCGTGCTTCAGACTGGTGTCTTCCATATAAACTACAGCCGACCACAGAAATCCATCTATAGCAACACCTAGCTTCTTTGTTTGCTCCTGTCACTGTCACTGGAAGATGTGGAGTTTTTAAAAAGGTCTTACAAAGGATTGTCTTACTTTGTAGATTAAATTAAAAATCTTTCCTTAACGTATGAAAATTAGTACACACAAATATGATATCAACTCACTTTTTTGGAGTCCATGTTAAATTTCTTTTTCCCACGCAGGAATTTCCTGTTCCTCGCAACATTTTTACTGCAACAGAAGACAAAAAATGTTGTAATGTGATAAATCATAAAGTTTTGTAGCTCATTTTGTTGTTTATTTTGAACTGAGAGCTGTGTTTGCCTTTTTTTCGTGTTGAATATGAGGAGCAGATTGCTGGATTAATATTTGGTTTTCGGTTTAATAAACATAAATAATACATATATTGGTATAAAAGACAATGAAAAGTTAACTTTACGACTGATCAATGTTCAAGTTAAAATAAATCATTTTTCCTGTGAATTCATTTTCATTTCATTCATTTCACACTCCAAACTACTTTCCGATAACGAGCGCTTTGTGATAAGTGGTCGGTGTTTTTGTGGCGTGCGTGCAGCAGTACTCAGAAACTGAGGTTGCGATACCAGTAATGCAGCTATGTGTAAATGTAGTGTCACACTAGACACTTATTATCGCCTCATAAGTGCAACAGCAAAAAGCAGAAACTCCAAATAAGGACTTCCCATAGTGTCAAAAGACATTTTTCTCTCCAAATTTCTGTGACTGTAAGCGTGCTCATTAACTTTGTTTTATTACAGCTGGTGCTTCAGTTTGTGCCGGATCACAGTGTCTCCTCCAAAACACATTGTCTCTAATTACCAGCCTCCAAAGATGACTAAAAACTTTTGAAACATTTAGCAAAATAATGGGTAAAAGGTTAAAATAAAGGGTAGCACGGGTGTGAAGTACTTGAATTAAACTGTGTGGATTTGTTTTAAAAGGAAAGCAGTAAAAATTGCTCTTTGTGGAACAATTTATGGAGAACGTGATTGCAAGTGTCAGGTGAAAAGGCTTGACAAGCAAATTAAACAGAGAGAGTAGGCGGCCCCTGCCCCTCCTGACTGCTCAAGGCCACCATCATCATATAGGTCATAAAATACATCTCCGTCTGTGACATTAAAGCCATATACACGTTCATTTTGGTCCAGTATTTTTAGTGAGTCCCAAAGTGTGGACCACAGCCCCCTGTAGGGTGGTTTAGGTACTGCATATGAGTCGGGACAGGTTGTTTAAATCACTGTAAAAACATTCTAATTAAATATTTCCAACAAAAAGCAAAAATAAAAATAAAACCATTTTATATAGTGTAAACGATGGACGTAGCTACACCAGCCAACAGTTTGTGAAATCTCTTTATGAAGTCACAATTTGAGCTTTTGGGTTTCTTGAACTACCAGCTAGCTAAAACAAGGGCTGAATCTGATGATGAAACTGTGCTTTTTTTGGCTGATAACTCGTCAATCACAAATAAATACAAGATGACCTGAAATGATCAACTAATGAGCTCATCAGGAAAATAGGAGCTGAGAGCAGTTTTCCGATGGAAAATCCTTGTGTGAGTTTGAAAAACTAATGGTTGTCAGCTGGTTGCCAGCTAGTTGTATTGTGGTTATATTCTTATTTAAAAGCAAAGGGTTTCCCTAATGTGACAAAAGTATCACTTAGAAATGCAACTAAATGTTTGGGCCACAGAATATTTACAGATTACATAGTGGGCTTTGGGATTCTAAATATGGGAATGGTTGGTCTGAAAAGTGGCATCCTGCAATATTTTTTTAGACCTCTGATGTCTAATAGGTGGTAAACCTAACACTAACACTGCCGGAGGTTTCTTCCTGTTAAAAGGGAGTTTTTCCTTCCCACTGTCGCCAAAGTGCTGCTCATAGGGGGTCATATGATTGCTGGGTTTTTCTCTGTATCTATGAAGCGCCTTGAGGCGACTTTTGTTGTGATTTGGCGCTATATAAATAAAATTGAATTGAATTGAATTAACAACCTAAAACAGTTAATCCGATTTGTTTATCAGGCTTGTGCAGTGCATCATCACACTGAAATGCCCCTGCTTCTGACTTGGTCAAATGCAAATCTGAGTAAAGGTGGCTGTGCGACTGAGCATTACGTGTGGTGTAGGAGACTAAGCTGAATCAAAGTGTCGCTTAAACAAGAGGAAGAAGCCATGCTGACTCAGAGAATAGCTGCTATAAGAATTGTCCTCATACTCACTTCTGCTCCTTCAGTTCAGGGCTGTGGATTTCAGGCATGACGCGATTGATCTCCAATCTGAGTTTCTGCAAGAAAGAAGGCAGTGACGTTAGAGAAAGATCAAGGTTTGGTGTTACATCACAGATACTCGCAGACTCAATGATTCATGGTCAGTTTGTCGGCTATTATGAAGCAGCCTTCAAATCCTTCATATCTCAATTAAATGTTATGTATGAATGGCCTTTTTGTGCGCTGTGAAAAACTCTGCCGAGGCTGCTAGGAGTGGGTGCACACAGCAGAATAACGAGGCGTTTTATTGAAAGACCATAGAGGAAAATATTCACCGCAGTACCTGAATGTCATCCAGCAGCTCAAACTCATGCGCCTCACCCTGCCTCCTCGCCTCTGGTGGGAGTTTGATTGGAGCTGTTGGGTGACAGAAAGCATCAGTTACTTCAGGATGGGGACAAATACACTTGATAATGCATTAATTAGACATGCAACTCTGTGGACTGTCTTGACAACCCCCCCCCTCCCGCTCATTTTCACACACACAGTCATATATCACACCTTCACCCTTCACAGGTTAAAGAAGTGGTCAATCAACACGCTTAAAATAGCTGCTTTTCTTCCTCTTTTGAACAAAGAGGGGTTACTTTGAGTGCAGTGCAGCCACTAAAGCAGAATTTAAGTCCAAGTAAATTTTTTATAACATTGTAAAAAAGTTCAGTTTCCTTCCTAGGCAAAGACATTATTGTGCATTAAAAGTAATATGAAAATAGCATGATATTCAAAGCAGTTGTGAGCAGTTTGAGTTCTAAACAAAACCACACAAATAGTCAACACAAACATCATCAAAACCACTTTTAGTTTTAAAACAGCGTCAGCTTATGACAACGATTGAAAGTAAAAGATTAATAGGCATACCTTTTCCCCAGAGGAAGCTGTCTTTTCTGCGTATGGCCATGTTGTTGATGGTGCAGAGCGACTGACGGCTGCACAGGAAACAAACTCAGTCAGAGTGAAAAGAGGGCCGGCGCTGCCATTCGGAGACGCAGCAGCGACACTGGAGGCGCTCCAGAGCTCGGCCAACAGCACCGCTTACAACTCGTCTGATGATGTGAAACATGGTAAAATGCCCATTGAGCAACAGACAGCTCATTCATGACCTTATCGCTATTACACGTTATTACACAAACACTGCAGCTGTGACCACTAAAAATAATGTCATAACATCAACAAGATGAAATCAGGCGTTTTGAATTTAAAACAACGGCGGTTTTTCTGAGGTGGTGGAGAAGACATTCAAATGCACTGCTTTCACAGAAGCACTCCAGTTTATGAATATTGGATCAGCAGCTAATGCTTAAGCTATTAAAACATTTGTTTATTCAAAAATGACTGACGAATGCTGATAAAATCTGAGGAACTCAAATTGCTGACAGGAAAGACGTAGGCTGAAGCTTTCGCTTAAAACACCCACACTTTATACAGAGGATATTGTAAATATGTATTCTGCACTGCAACACTTTTACAACTAAAGTTCACAAAAAAGAAAGAAAAAATGAAAAATGAAATGGCCTTCACAGAAGCACACTGTGTTAGAAATAAAAATATGAAAGCAAGCTGCAACATGGACGTTACTAATGTGTCCTGATCATGCGTTTTGGTTCGGTTTTCATTTGGATGTGCACGAGTGTCTGGTTCTGGAAAAGCTTTAAAGCCTTCACATGAGTTATGAAGTGCACCAATAGCACAACACGCCAATAGCAACGCCAGACAGTGTAAATCTGAATGAAAATATGTTGCCTGGTTCATAATAGTGCAACAAAGGTTCTGTGTATTATACTGTTATATGTATATGCAAAGTGGTTATATATTAGGGGTGGGGGAAAAATTGATACTGTGTAGCATCGTGATATTTTGTTTGCTAATAATGTATCGATACAGGGACAGCAGAAATCGATATTTTGTTACAAAAAAAGTTTTTGTGGAATGGAACAGAGCATGTTGATCCTTTTTCTGAGCAAGAATCCTGACATTCCTTCACTGTCCAAATGTGTTTAACTT